CATGTGGGATCTTCCCAGACCGGGGCACGAACCCGTGTCCCCTGCATCGGCAGGCGGACTGTCAACCACTGCACCACCAGGGAAGCCCGGCAGAAAGATTCTTAACCACTGCTCCACCAGGGAAGCCTGAAAAATCTGCTTTTAATTGAAGTATTTGAAATTTGAAGAAGGGATATAAAATTAATCAGAAATAACTTATACATAAAGTTACTATAAAGAAAACAATGTATATATGTATATAAATATACATATATATGCATATATGTATGTATACACAACAATGTATATAAATATCAGAGCCAACAAGAAATGCTCAAAATATAAAATATTAAAGACTGATATTAAATTCAACAGACCTATACATAAACCCAATTGTTAAGTAAGTTTCAGATGAATCTATCTCAACAAACTGCAGAACGGTCAAAATGGCATCATGTAAAAACATTTTCCACATTTACTGGGGGCATTTTTCTGCTTATGCATGGGTACAGGAGGACTGTCTGATCAGCTTACTGCTGCTCCATTTTGAGATAGAGCAGAAGGGAGGGTAGATCTAGTTTATTACGGGCCTTTTATCACCAGACTCAACCTGCCAAGAGGCCTCAGATGCTTGAGTGACTCTAATCATTGAACTGACTTCAGAAAGACCAGATCCAACCATTCTGCTTTTTTCCTCTGTTTTACAACTATTTAAAGTGTCAACTACTGCGGGGGGGGGGGAGGGATAAATTGGGAGATTGGGACTGGCATATACACACTACTATATATAAAACAGACAACTAATAAGAACCTACTGTACAGTACTGGGAACTCTATTCAATACTCTGCAGTGACATATGGGAAAAGATCCTAAACAAGAGGGGATAGGGACTTCTCTGGCGGTCCAGTGGTTAAGACTTTGTGCTTCCAATGCAGGGGGCACGGGTTCGATTCCTGGTTGGGGAACTAAGATCCTGAGTGCCGTGCAGTGCAGCCAAAAAATAAAATAAATAAAAAGAGTGGACATACGTATAACTGATTCACTTTGTTGTACAGCAGGAACTACCACAGCATTGTAAATCAACTATACTCCAATACAAATTAGTTAAAAATAAAATAAAATTGGTAAACTGGAAAAAAAAAGTGTCAACTACTCAATAAGGGATAGATTATCATCCTATTCAATAAAATAAACCTCTCACAAATCCTTTCATAGACATATCTTAAACTAGGGACTCCAACAATAAAAATGAGAAAAATTTTAAGATAACTATGTTTCTATACCCAAACACATTGTTTTGCCTGTTAATTCATTTCATTAAGCTTACTGGTGATTTCTGACTTTCAAAGACTGTCAGTTCCTCAAAAGGTCACCCCAAAGATCTTACGGCTGAACATTTCTAATAAAAATTGCAGTATTTCACTTTCCATTACCATATTTACGTGGCGAGTTCTTGATGTTATAATATACATAATGCCAGCTTTTTACTTAATAGGCCTAAAATTTTGTCTTAGTTTGTATACTTATTCCAAAACTAAACACAATTTCCAGCAGCCACTACAAAAATATGTTACGAGAAGTCATGGCATTTCTTTAGTTTACAAAAGGAAGAAAATATGTAATGCAATCTTCTTTCAAACATTTTTCCCACCCTGAAGATCACAAAATACTGACGACCATTTCATTAAAAGGAAAATTTTTTTCCAAGCTAACAGTTTGCAAGAAAACCTGAGATGAGAAAACTGTAAAATGCAATTTAATATGACCTAAGTTATAAAAATAAAAACATGCTTGATAACTCAACATTTGGAAAACTACTCTGGTGAGCAGTCAAACTAGAATTTACTTTCACTTTCCCTATTATTGGACATTTAGGCTATTTCCAAATATTTAAGTAATATCACAATAAATGTCTTTGTGTTTATAGTTTGTAACAAGGTAGTCTAACATCTTAAAATGGTTTTTATTACCTTTGCTTCTTCTACATAGGGAGAGAACAGTCGAGGACGAACATATATTCCAGCATTTTTTTGCCGTAACCAGGCATTTGACTTTCCACCTTCTGTTGTAGGAAGCATATCTGATGGAGGAGTACTAATCAAGCCTCTTTTCATCTTGAAAAAAAAAATTTTTTTTTTACAGAAACAAGAGATTTGTGTAGCGCCGCAATATTACAAAGATAAAAATAATTATACCTATAAATCAAAATGTTTGAACTTCAGCATTTAAATACAAATTTCGGAATATGTGTGAAATTTAAAAATACTTCAAATGTTCAATAATATTTAAAGGATTCAGCAAGCCATAAAAAGGTACTACAATTTTCCATTTTTCTCTACATAGAGGAATGATGTTTTAAAAACAAGAGCTGTACTAATTAAAAATATAATGAGTCAAACTAACTTTCGGAACTCTTAATGAGAACCAATTTGTTTTTTTCCTTACTCATCTGGGAACTGATTCCTCCCCACCTTACCCTCCTCAAGACAAAACAAGCACATTCCTGGGCCTGTATCTACAGTACAAAGATGGACAGTCTGCATGGTGATTAGGGGCAGGGGCTCTAAGGGAAGGAGAACTTGGCTCAAACCCTAAGTCTCCATTTAACAGCCACGTGACCATGGACATCTCCTTTTACCTGGGCCTCACCTTAAGGGCCCCTAGGTAGCCCTGGAGATGGGACACTGCACGACTAAATGTGGTGGCCCTGTTGTTCCCACATCTACGCTAGGAGACTATAAATCAAGTCCTTATAGCCCATGAGGTGACTGTAAAGAGTAAATGAAGGTAAGGAAGATAAGCAGCGCCTGGCACAGTGCTTAGCATACACTGAAAGAGTGTTATGGTTCACAGCCATTATTAGCAAACTTTTACTGGGGACTTGCTATGTGTTAGGCAGGGGATTAAGAGCAGAGATATATATTTTCTAAGTCTATTAAACAAAAGTTCTAAAATTTTTTTCTAAACCAAATTCAGGGATCAATTTGGTTTGAGTCCCAGGTTTTAAACAAAACCAAACACTGTTTCTTTAATATTATTCTTGTTAAATATAATAAACGTCTAATTGCTGCATTAAAATCATGTTGAATTAATAAAATATAGCAATAGACATATTTTGAAAATAGGAAAAAAACCCCACAACTCTAATCTGTTACAACTGTAATAATGTTGATATATTTCCTTCCAGTCTTTTTCAAATGAATTTTTACCTAATGAAATTTTAGAATACATAAAAATATACATTTTTTGTATGCTAACACATATATATGGAATCTAAAAAAAAAAAAAAGGTCATGAAGAACCTAGGGGCAGGATGGGAATAAAGACGCAGACCTACTAGAGAATGGACTTGAGGACACAGGGAGGGGGAAGGGTAAGCTGTGACAAAGTGAGAGAGTGGCATGGACATATATACACTACCAAACGTAAACTAGATAGCTAGTGGGAAGCAGCAGCATAGCACAGGGAGATCAGCTCAGTGCTTTGTGACCACCTAGAGGGGTGGGATAGGGAGGGTGGGAGGGAGATGCAAGAGGGAGGAGATATGGGGATACATGTATGTGTGTAGCTGATTCACTTTGTTATAAAGCAGAAACGAACACACCATTGTAAAGCAATTATACTCCAATAAAGATGTTAAAAAAAAAAGTAAAAAAAAAACCCACATTTTTTTATCCTTCTTTCTAAAATTATATTCCATTATTACATTGCTATATTACTTTACAGCCATTCGTCAGGGCAGGCAGCAAAATATTCTGTCAAGGAGTCGTGCTATAATTTATTTTCCCTGTTATTAGATATTTAGGCTACTTCCCAAAATTTAAGGATGATGCTACCAATGTACCAGCTATATTTCCCCTATGGAACAGTAATATTATTCCAAAAATCAGTGACCTAATAGGTAAAAAAAATGATAACTTACTGTTTTATTTTCCTTTCTTTGGTGTGCGTGTGTGATGACTAGTGAGACTGAACATTTTTCTAATCAGAGAGTCCATAAGTATTTAATTATTTTCTTCTAGTTTTTCCATATTTCAACTTAATATTTAATTCTTCAATCTAACAGGGATTAATTTTGTGTGCAAGTGAAATGAGGGTTTAACTTTAAGCACATTTTTTCCCTCTCCCACTGATGGGTTAGTATAGTACTGCAGTGATTTGTGATAGCTCACTTATTATATGTTTAATTCTTATATTAATTAGGATCTTTTTCTGGGCTATTTTGTCTTCTCTATTTTGCTCGCACCACAGATTAACAGCGTTTTAAAATATACTTTACATTATGGAAGAGTTATCCCTCCTTAATTATGTTCTTTTTAGAGAACTTAAAAAAATGCTTATCAGTTTTTTTTCCAGATGACTTTTATAATGTTTCTGTGCAGTTGAATAATAAACTATTATGATGTTTACAACATCATATTAAAGTTCTAAACCAATATGTGAAGAATATTTATTTTTCTCATCCATTAATTACAGCAATTCTTACAGTCTAAAAAATTCACTTAAAAAATTATGAAAGTAACATAATCAGTCAGCTCCATTAATTTTTACCTGAAATACAATTATAAGATTCATCCCTTTTACAATGAACTAATCTCCTTCTCTCTTGCTCTCTGATTTACTGCTATACTTAAAGAGTCTCCAAAGGTAATTTCTACCCTTTCCTTTTTTAATAAGGACTACTTGATCTACACTGATAAATGGCTGGATCAACTCCACTAGAAACTATCCTCTTGCAAAAGTAAGACTGATATATCCACTCAACTCTCATCCACCAAACATTTATTTGTGCCACGTGCCAGACACGGGGGACACCATACAGTACAAAACAGACATCTGTCTCTGCCCTCATGGAATTTAGTTTCATGATACTCCATTAGTAGAAATTATTTACAATGATTTAAAAAAAAGACACTTTCTTTTCATGAAAGGGATAAATGAAAAAAGACACTTACTGCATCACTTAGGACTTCACTGTTTATAGGTAAAATATGTTCAATCCGCACAAAAGGTAAGAGAGAAGAAAGGATCTCTCTAAGCTCTTCGATGTCCAGGTCTCGTCTTTTTACACCTCTCTTGTTCACACTATGAGCAGTGCCACTCAGTAAGTTTGGCTCTATGATACAGACAGAAAATGAGAAGTCTCCAACCAAATCCAAATTTTCAGAGAAAGGCTTTCTTTCTTCTCTAGTACACTTTCAGTAACACTCTTTATATTAAGTATATCTGCTGTAAAAAGCGTTATAAGTAAATTATTTTTATGTCTTAAGAAGTTTTCATAATAGCGATACTCTCAGACAAAGAAAAAAGCATGGTGTCAACAGTACAATAACATTCTTTATGATTGCTCTGCATTAAAGAATACAGAATTCTTTTCCATATACTAACTCAAAGGAGAAAAAACGACAATCTATTAAAATCTAGTTTGACCAAGGGCTTTTTCTTAAGGTTTCTCACTTTGGTGACCAGTTTTTTTTAAAAGTACAATAAGGGCAAGGCAGGCCAAATGTTATTTCTGATCACTGTAGGTTATCAGTATGCTCATTAGGTTACTATGTATGTTTAACAGCAATGTAACGAGATTCTAAAATTATATCACCTGGTATCTTAAAGCAGCAAAACCTAATGTACACTCTATTTGACTTTAAGAATTTTATGAGCCTCCTAAATTTTCGTAATATGGGAATGTTAATGCATAAAAGTGAACCTTTCGACATCTGACGTATAATACCACTGTCCAGAGCAGAGAATAAAATGTTTTCTTCATTGAGTATTAGTGAAAGGGGAAAATCTGAAGTGTATATATATGCTTTTGATATTGAGGTGGGCAGGAAAATTTCATATTTGGGGAATTTTTAATCATATCTTTAAACCAGGGGGCTGTATTTTTTTCTTCCTTAAAGAAATAAGATCTTTATCATTCACAAATATAAATGCTGGATTTTTTGCAAACACTACAGGCAAATTGGTATTTCCCTTAAATCACGTGATGGATAAAGAGATATTGTTTTTTGAGAGAGTAAGATATTTTTGGAGTCATTCAAAATAAAATTACTGCACGGTGTGAAAAAGGGTTTTTTTTCCTCTTGTCTTGCTATGCTTTGGCTTCAGTACTTATAAAAGACACTGCTTTTCAAAAGAAATTTTTTCTCAAAGTAGTGGTGTCCTGGTTTCAAATGAAATATTACAAGAAATTCCCAAATATGTAACACATAAGGGCAGAAACCTTGTGTATGAAGGGGACTGAAACAAAGGGCACCCTGGTTGGTACAGCGTCCTCCTCATCCCTCTGAAAGAGGCTTCCATTCTAACCCAGCCTGAAAACCACTGTTTTTCTTTTTTTTCTTTTTTTTTTTCTTTTTTTTTGCGGTACGCGGGCCTCTCACTGTTGTGGCCTCTCCCGCTGTGGAGCACAGGCTCCGGACGCGCAGGCTCAGCGGCCATGGCCCATGGGCCCAGCCGCTCCGTGGCATGTGGGATCCTCCCGGACCAGGGCACGAACCCATATCCCCTGCATCGGCAGGTGGACTCTCAACCACTGCGCCACCAGGGAAGCCCAAAACCACTATTTTTTAAGAGAAATTTTATCAAGGATGTTCATTATCTGCTCAAAATAAATATGACATTTCATCATTACCAGCCTTACATCAACGAACAAGCCTATGATGATTATGTAGCATTATATACAATCAACTCTTGTTATCTGGGGTGGTTTTGTTCTCTAAAGCCACCACAGTTAGTGAACACTGAACCACTGCTCCTTAGGGAAACACAGGGTTAGGTCCCTGTGAGCGTCTGGTCACATTTGTTTTGTTAACCAATCAAGACATAACCTTGTTTTATGTGTGTTTCTGTTTAAAGACACCTTAGTAGTACATATTGTTGATTCATTAACAATGAACTCACAGCCAACAGCACTGTAATTCATGCCTGAACTATGCTTATCAACACATATATTTTCTCTGTAAGGCACATCACAGCACTCTTGGACTTAAGAACACTAGATAGTACTAAGCATTACACTAGGAGGCCATTTTAGACCGTGGGATCACCAGAAAAACCCATAAAGATGTGAAAAACACGGCACTGAAAAGATTATGAAAAGGACACTGCTTTGAGAGCTGAAATAAAATGGCAGAGTGTCACTCTGTTCTACCTTAAGCTGGAAACGTATGACTCAAATTTTGTGTCACTCTGCACATCTCTGCAAATGAACATGCAAGTGTCATGAGTACTGATTTGGGGATCACAAATAAATTTTAGCAAGTAGGTGAATTTGAAAATATAGAATCTGCAAATAAGGATAGACTGTATAATGACATTTCAAAAATGTCCCAAATTGATAGTAGTGGTTTTTGTATTTAAAAATTTTCAAATCTGAAATTGCTAAAGGCTTTTAGCAAAAGATAAATTAGGAGAAATAAGATAGGAGGACTGTTTTGTTCCCTAGCGCTTGGGTTGTAGTATATTAAAGGGACACTATAAAAAGATCTGAAGGCAGGTTTAGCTTGATTTTTTTTTTTTTTTTTTTTTTTTTTGCGGTACGTGGGCCTCTCACTATTGTGGCCTCTCCCGTTGTGGAGCACAGGCTCTGGATGCGCAGGCTCAGCGGCCGTGGCTCAAGGGCCCAGCCACTCCGCGGCATGTGGGATCTTCCCGGACCGGGGCACGAACCCGTGTTCCCTGCATCGGCAGGCAAACTCTCAAGCACTGCGCCACCCGGGAAGCCCTAGCTTGATTTTTTTAAAATATATTTTAAAATGTGGGCAGAACAACTCTGTAAGTGTACTAAAAAACACTGACTTGAACACTTTAAAAAGGTGAACTTTATGGTATGTAAATTATATTTATATAAAGCTGTTGAAAATGACAGGAAAGGGAAACCTGCATTTAATTTTTCTAATATTTTGATTTGGGTTCACTACATAGAGGAACACAATATTCTATGAAAGAAGGAGCACAGGTGGGTGGGCTAACCCTAGATATAAATATAAGACTGCTATAGAATCATAAGCTTCCAAAGTTTAGTTAAAATCGTAAGCTACATATGATGCTTCTAACTCTTCTGCAGTATCCCCAGCGGAGCCCATTCAAAAGGATTATTTCTCCTTTACCTTCCACAAAAATTTAAAATAAACAACAAATATACTGTCTTTGGGTAGTCATATATTTTTTTTTCCCTTGAGGCAAAATTCACATAACATAAAACCCACCATTTTAACCATCTTAAAGTGTACAACTTAGTGGGACTTTTAGTACATTTAGAATGTTGTGCACCTATCACCACGATCTAATTCTAGAACATTTTCATCAATGACATGCTTTTGTAACACTTTAATTAAATGAAAAATTTCACTCTAATACTTTCAGAAATCAGTCAACATATATTATTAAACACATAGAAAGATAACATTAAGAGTATTGCTTTAAAGTTGCAAAGTTAAATTTTCTGGTATATTTATTTCTAGCAAAGTATATACCCTTTCCACTAAAGGATTCTACTGATTGTAAAACTTTCTGTTTTCATCAGGCAACAGTGGCAACTGTCAAAAGACTGACGTGCAACACGCACTTCAGTAACTTCCAGGAAAAGCTTACAGTTGCAAGCTAGTTTTCTGAGCTTACCTCTGTCTGCTATTCTCTTCATTAACTGATGCTCACCCCATTTAATCAGATATTTAAGGATATCTTGTTCACTTGCCTATAATAAAAAATGGTTCACATTTATTTTAGTGCAATCAGATAGATGGTTAATCTCATTAATGACTCTTCCTAGGTCATAAAGTAAATACAACATGCAACTTGTCACGCTTCACTCTTTACACTGGCTGTTTCCAATGTCTGAGCTAAACCTGTGGTGTATCAGCAGCAAATACACAAGACCGGATGACATGTGTTTTGTCCAGTAACATCACTCTTGGCTCTAATTAAGTTTTTATTCTTATTTCCATTGTTATTTTTTCTTTATCCTGTTTTCTTCCCCTGTTTTAAATTTACCTTACTATATGGTTTCGATACAGCTGGCTTAAATTCTTTTTGGGACAATATGGAGATAAACAGATGAAAGTAGAAGTGTAAGGATACAGTGTGACCGCTATCTCCTGCAGGAGCAGAAAAAAACAAGTATGGCAACTTGTTTTGGCAGAAGACACTACAATCTCCACAAAGTATGCTACTGAATGGCGAAGGACCCTTCAAGCACTGTCTGTGAAATGGCAATGTGCCCCTCATTCTTTTGTACTTTTTTTTTTTTTTTTTTTTTTTTGGTTGTGTTGGGCCTTCGTTGCTGTGTGCGGGCTTTCCCTAGTTGCAGTGAGTGGGGGTTACTCTTCATTTCAGTGTGTGGGCTTCTCATTGCAGTGGTTTCTCTTGTTGCGGAGCACGGGCTCTAGGTGCGCAGGCTCCATAGTTGTGGCGCGTGGGCTCAGTAGTTGTGGCTTGTGGGCTCTAGAGCGCAGGCTCAGTAGTTGTGGCTTGTGGGCTCTAGAGTGCAGGCTCAGTAGCTGTGGCGCACAGGCTCAGCTGTTCCGTGGCGTGTGGGATGTTCCCAGACTAGGGCTTGAACCTGTGTCCCCTGCATTGGCAGGCAGATTCTTATGCACTGTGCCATGAGGGAAGCCCCTCTTTTGTACTTTATTTAAAATCTGAGGGCAAAATCTAGGCTGCTGTCCAAGGTTTTTACTTTCTAAGAAGAAATGCAAAGCTTCTAAAAACAATAATTGAGAGAACTGACAAATCCTAACTCCCATAATGTCTGCATCAGGACAGTGAAATAAGGTTAATGAACACAGATACTAAATAAATCAAAACCAATTATGACAACATTTGTACTGCAATCAAAGCAATATATGAAGGAAAAACACAGATGCTAAATGGATTTTTTAAATCTTCATTTCTGACTGAGATGGAAGCATTTCATAATTTTTCTGGTACAGGAAATGGCTCAATGAGTTTATGACTTCATAACATTAAAACTGTTGTACAGTTTCTAGCGTAAAAGTCACACGGCCACAATATGCAAAAAGAAAAAAAAGCTTGAACATATTCTACCTGAAAGTATCTTTTTACAATATTTTACATCTATTGTTAGTTTAAATTACCTAATATGAAGGACATATAAATCAAGGGCACAAGAATTTGCTTAAAAGTACTTCTGACTAAAAATAAGTAGTTGAAAACATCATTATACTTCAGCGGGACACACACTTTGAGTTTTTATAAGCATTTGAGTAGGTCAGAAATTGAATATTATTCTTACTTTGTGCCGCTTAAACTAAGTATCTTCTGATACCTCACCAAATAAATGAAACCATTACACTGAATCTATTATTAACAGAAGCCAAGAGAATCACCATTGGGATATGCTTCTGACCTTGCCTTTTGCCTACTGTCACAACCCCTTTGGCGTGGTTGGTTAGGACCTGGGCCGGTTCACAATGCTGAATCAGGGCGGCAGAGTGCACAAAGGGCCAGAGAGCTAGAAGGTTGTGGCTGCACAAATATGATGAGGGTATTCCTGGGTGGGCTGATCTCCCTAGATGGGAGAGTAACAGAGTACAGATGGGTTTCTTGGTGCACCTATGAATGACAATGAATTTGAGAGGTGTATAAATGATTACCTGTAGGTAGTCAGACTGGATAGCAGTAAGCAGATGGTCTTTGCTGAGTTCATAAAAAACATCCGAAGTCATGACCTGGGAAAATTCCTCACAGAGGAAATGTAAAGCTTGTCGGTGTACCCATTTAGAGCCATATGGATGAGAGCTCCACTTGAGGATGGCAATTAAGGTATCTAATGAGATGCTTTCAGCAATGATATCCTCACAGCCTAAAAGAGAAGGCAAATACTTCTTGAGATTAATCATAAATATTACGTATTGAACATCAGTGTGTTAGACACCAACCTTAAAAGTATCAATGGTAGGGCTTCCCTGGTGGCGCAGTGGTTGAGAGTCCGCCTGCCGATGCAGGGGAAACGGGTTCATGCCCAGGCCTGGGAAGATCCCACATGCCGCGGAGCGGCTGGGCCTATGAGCCATGGCCGCTGAGCTTGCGCTTCCGGAGCCTGTGCTCCGCAGCAGGAGAGGCCACAGCGGTGGGAGGCCCGCGTACCGCAAAAAAAAAAAAAGTATCAATGGTAAAAAAGAACAAGGAGATAAATAAAATCTCATGGTAATCACCAAGACTTGGTGGGATGGGGTAACAATTGGTAACTATAATAGATTATGACATCTATAGGAAATCTGCTGTTCCATAGAGACAGATCCATAGAAAAAGGCAAGGAACCCTCATAATTGTTTAAGAAAATAAACATCTATGTGCAACTCAACAATTTGTATAAGACATTATAGTGGAGGGCACTGGACCAAAGGGGAAAGAAAGAAGAATAGGTAGAAATGGTACAGTTTCGGGAACTGGCAAGAGGAAGGCTTGGATGACACCTGACTGATAAGAGAATCCACCCTTGAGGGTAAGACAGGTGGGCTATCTTCTAGGAATTATGAGGACATCTGTTTTTTGTATTATTCTAATAAAAACCCAACACTTTGCATCGTCGATAGTTTAATCCCTCAGAATACAGATAAAATACTGCAGTTTTTTGTTCATCTGGTGAACTAAAAAGAAATATGTGGTTTAAGTGAAAAGGACCAGAATCCTGGAGAAAGTGACTATGGCACCTTAAGAGCTCAAAGAAAAGAAGAAGAAAATCTGAGGACAGTCATCTATTTTCCTTAGGAAAGATAATTTCAAAATACAAAGATAAAATATAAGTAAAATTACAGTGACAAAGACTGTGTAGAGGAAAATGGCTAAAGTTGGACAGAAATTCTTCACAACTAAGTTTACTATAAAATAAAAAAAGAACCCCAATAATGGGGGGGGTTGTTTAAACACCACCACCAACAACAAAAATGTGGCTAAACAGGCTGCTCTCTAATGAGATCAGAGGTTTAAAAGATAGAGTAGTAAAAGACAGAAAGGGCAGCAGTGAACTCTGGAGACCTCCAAAGCTCAAAGTTCTTGTGAACCTATGAAAAGTGAAAAGAGAAAGATAACAATTCCCATTTTCAGGTGATATAAGATCATTAGGAGCCAATATCGAGTTTGTAAAAAGTAATGCTTCCTCCCCTTTTCTGATATGGTACCAGATAAGCAGAATATCATAGAGAACTGTATAACCTGATTTCTGCAAAGCATTTAACAAAACACTTCATGATGTCTCTAGACTGTTAGCTACAGAAGACGGGGACCGCTGTCTTCACTGTATCTCTAGCACCTTCTACCACATGGCAGGCATTAAATAAAAATTTGCTGAATGTACAAATGAGATCTTTGAAGATAAGACAGAAAGATGTGGAGGGATGACAGAACAGTGGCTAACAGAACCATTTGCAAGTAGCACTGATTAACTCCCGGGATGGAGTGGAGAGTCTCTGTCTTTCCGATGTTAATCAAGAATTTGACTTTCTCTTTCTGACACATATATATGGAATCTAAGAAAAAAAAAAATGTCATGAAGAACCTAGGGGTAAGACGGGAATAAAGACACAGACCTACTAGAGAATGGACTTGAGGATATTGGGAGGGGGAAGGGTAAGCTGTGACAAAGTGAGAGAGTGGCATGGACATATATACACTACCAAACGTAAACTAGATAGCTAGTGGGAAGCAGCCGCATAGCACAGGGAGATCAGCTCGGTGCTTTGTGACCACCTAGAGGGGTGGGATAGGGAGGGTGGGAGGGAGGGAGACACAAGAGGGAAGAGATATGGGAACATATGTATATGTATAACTGATTCACTTTGTTATAAAGCAGAAACTAACACACCATTGTAAAGCAATTATACTCCAATAAAGATGTAAAAAAAAAAAAGGAATTTGAATTAAGTTGTGGAAAGTATGCTTCAAAGTCTTGAGATGACCTAAAGCTGGGAAACGCAGTTAAAAATACACTGGATAAAATGATCATAATTAGCTAAAAAGATGGATCGAAATGAAGATGAAATCTAACTAAAAAAATCAGGAAGTTCTATATTTAGATTAAAGAAAAGCAACGGCACAATAAAAGATAGGGGCGAGCTAGCTTAACTATAACCGCTTATTTAAAGATAATATCTGGGTATGTTAACTGAACAAATGCAAAATGTGACATGGCTGCTATAAAACTAAAGCAATCTCAGGCTTTTAAGATACAAGCATAGAGTCATAATCAAAGGAATAATGTTGCACTGCTCTCCTGTGGGGTGCTGTGTTCTGTTCTGAGCCCTGTGTTTAGACGGGCAATGACAAAACTCCAGAATACTCAGAGGAGGGTGTAAGTACAGTGGAGAGTTTGAGACCTGTTACTGAAGAAAAGCTCTGAACAAACAAGATTATTATTGATTTATGTAAGAGAAACCTGAGGAGAGACATAAGAGCTATCTTTCAATGTTTGATGGAACCTCATGAGGCAGAAAAGAAATGACCCATTCTCTGTGGTTGCAAGGGCAAGTCCTGGGAAACACATGATGGTAAAAGAAGAGAGATTTTGACCCATTATTAAGAAATTTCTAACAATTAGAACTGCTCTCCTTACCTCCCCTCAACAAAAGGATCCCTCTAGAAAAAGGCAGGAGCAGAGGCTAGCTTGTCGCATTAGGAGTAGGGTTCCAAGAACCCTTACACTGGGTATGGAACTAAGGTAGGATGACATCCAAGCTTTTTCTGCCACAAAGATAAAATCGTTTTTAGAAATAACAGAGTAAGCATAAGAGTAATTAAATCTAAAGATTAAAGATGAATTTATTTAATCTAAACATTAAAATGAGATCCTTATAAATGAAATCTGCATGTAAACAACACCAAAGGCATGAATATGTGCTGATGAGAAGTGAGAAATATGGAAAAGTTCTGAACAGTTCTCAAGATTTTACTGTAAGCCTTGAATGCCAAGCTGAGGACAGGCCTCACCCAGTAGCCAGTGGAGGACTTCTGTCAGTCTGCTGTTTTAAAGCAGGCACTGAAGTGGAGTCAAGTAGTATGAGTCAACATGACAGGAAAGGCAATCTGGTAGACATGTTTGGGGACAAAGCCAGGCAAATTAGAGAAAATGTGGTTTTAAAAAGAATGTGTCACAATCCTACTAAAACCAGGATATTGGCAGAGGGAAGAAAGGGAATTAAAGATAACATCATATATTTAAACTTCTGAGGTTTACAAAGAAGCTAGACATGACAGGAAAAATGGACTTTGAAATCAAATTGACTTGAAATCCCAGCTTGACCATTTAGCAGGAAAGTCACTTTGGGCAAATCACTTAACCTCCCTGAGCCTGAAATGTTTTCATCTGTAAAACTGGGATTATATTCCTAACTCAGGGTTATGATATGAGATTTAAATGAGACTGTATCCTTGATATTCTTCCTTCATTCGAACATTCTGGAGTACCTACTTGCCAAGTGCTGTAATTACAAAGCTCTTTCTACTGCACAATTTCCTGGGTAATGTCACCTGTCCCCACGGCCTTTAACTCCCATTGTATCCTTATGTCTTTCAAGGTCCAACATAGAGCTCTCTCCTGACATCGAGACTCATTTCTTAAACTTCCCAGACTCATTCCTTAACTTCCCAGAGTTCACATGGATATTCTGCAGACATCTTTAATCCAAAAGTCACTTCGTTTCCTCTGGGAAATCTAGCCCTTCCTCCTCCCTCCTCTGGCACTTCCCTCCCCATATATATATACACACACATATATATACACACACATATACACACACACACACAACTTTGTTATATATGTTAACAAATTATTCAGTAGCTTGACGTCAAGATAAAATCCAAACTGCAGTTTTTTGGATGATATGGCCTCTGCCAACTTCTCCAGCCCCTACTCGGCTCATATTCTGCACTCTAGTCAATACTGCATTACTTACAATTTCCTAGAATTCCACTGAACTCTCTCACCTCTAGGCCTTTACATATGTTGCTCCATATTTCTGAAATGCTCTTAATTTTCCTTCGTAACTCCTCCACATCTTTTAGGCTCAGCTTAGATATTGCCTCTTTCAAAAGCCTACCTTGAACCTGCTCCCCAAAGTCTAAGTCAAAAGTCAGGTGTTCCTCTTACCTAAAAGTTTCCATGGTGCCCTGTGTTTCTCTCTGTAATAGCATTAAACTCTCATACTAGTTTATCTTTCTGATATATTTGTCTGAATGCTCTATCAGACTGAGCGCTCCTTTGGGGTAGTGGCCCCATCTTTTTTTTTTTTTTAATAAATTTATTTATTTTTGGCTGCGATGGGTCTTCATTGCTCTGTGCGGGCTTTCTCTAGTTGCAGCGAGAGGGGGCTACTCTTCGTTGAGGTGCGTGGGTTTCTCATTGTGGTGGCTTCTCTTGCTGCAGAACACGGGCTCTAGGTGTGCGGCCTTCGGTAATTGTGGCACGCAGGCTCAGTAGTTGTGGCGCACAGGGCTTAGTTGCTCCGTGGCATGTGGGATCTTCCAGGACCAGGGCTCAAACCCGTGTCCCCTGCATTGGCAGGCAGATTCTTAACCACTGCGCCACCAGGGAAGTTCCAGTAGTGGTCCCATCTTATCTCTGATTCTATCTATCTACCTGACACCTGGTAAATAATTAATTAAAAACAAACATAAGAGAGGGCACATGCTCTCTTTTTTCCCTATAGAGCTTACTGACTCCATTTCCTAACTACAGACTAAACAGTACATATATTTCTTTAAAGACAACTAAATGACACAGTCAGAATGACTACTTTACCCTTTTAAACTAGAACTTTAGAGCTTCTTAGACTATTATCCACATGTGCTAGATTACTGTTTAGATAT